TTTTAATATTGAAGCCCAAGTTGTTATTTTCAAAGGATAGGGAAGGGGAAAAGGAAAGGGAAAAGAGAGAAGTTATGAAGACAAATTATTTTATTTAATTTATGGTTTTGTGAATGGTCATTTCTGTACGCAACAAAATGTTGTTTTCTTAAAAAAAAATAAAACAAACAGCACCATTAAAGAAAGCATGATCCCTGAATTCTAAACAAAACACTGTCTTGAAACAAAAAAATTGCTCGAATGCTTGTTTCACCCAGTCGCGTCTGGTGGGGTAACAAAGCAAAGCATAACAGCACTAAACTGTAGCAATCCCGCTGAAACCAACTACACCCCCTTCTGAAGATTCAGAGAACCACTTTCTGAGCTTGTCCTGTGGGAATAATATTTTCTTTGGTAGAGGACTGAAGGAGGGTTTTTACTTCACTGAATGCTGATAGAAAAAAAAAATCTATGCACATTAGGGATCTCCCCAATAAATCTGTATTTCTCATGCATGTTAGATATGAGTGGATTTCACATTGCTGTTATACTGCAGGAGTAATACTGCCCTGTAAAGGCATCGAATGGCTAATGTCAAACAGATGTAAACATTCAGAATACTGACAAAAAAAAATAAAAAATACAAACACACAAAAAACCCTGTACTGAAAATGTGAATCGAGTTAAGTTTCCGTAAAGCAGAAAAAATATTTTACAGCAGTACAAGAGAATTATGGCAACAAAGTAAAGCACTTTTCTTGTAACATTCATGAACAGTACAAATACAACAAAGTTATTCTACGGACTAAATTATTCTTTAACTATCAAATATAGTACAAAGCGAAATATTATGTGCTATAAAAGAAGCAGCTCCTTAAATTAGACTAAAAAATGCCTTTTTTTTTTTTTTCTTTTCGTTGGTTTTACAGTGACAAAGCATGATGACCGAAGACAACAGGATTTCATAGATTCAGAAACATTTAGCTACACAGGTCCATGATAAATCCACTGAATATTTTGTTGCTTCCCCCCCCAGTGTTCTGCAGAGCCGCAGAAGACGAACCGCTGGCGCTGCTGCCAGGAGACTGCAGAAGTCATTCAGTGTTCAGAGCAGGGCCCTTCACGTGTGTCAGCTAAAATGATCCCTTTCGGTGACACTTCTCAGCTCATCTTGAGTGTTTATCCTGGTACTTCACCACACCTTGGAGAAACTGCTAAACCAGAGGCTACAATAACGATTCTGAAATTGTGCGTGTGTTTATAAGGGGAAGGGGGTGCAGCATAAGGTAATTTTACTTCAGAAATTGCATTATAAAGCACCATATGCACCAGCTTAAAAACTGTGCAAGGAATTGCAGGGCCCTGAAAAACCACCTGCACGTTCTGTAGCTTACCCTGACAACATGCACCACCCTCAAGAAGAAAGCCTATAGTACAGAGAATATACCTTTTGCTTTATGGCTCAACCTTGATTTTTGTCTTTTAAACACTATTTCATGTACTAGACCTCAGCAGATAAATAAAATGCAAACAGGGAGCATCCAGTTCACCATTTCTTAATATTTTTTTAAAAAAACACATTATTTCAAAGGGAGTTTCTGCTTGGAAAATTAGTTCAGAACAGGAACACGCAAACACACACACTGCAAATGCCCTAATGTTATCTGCATATCTCACAGGTATGCAATTAAAACAATAAAGAGGGAGGAAAGAAAAAAAAAAGAGTTTCTCCCTCTCACCCAAAAGTGCTGCTCCAGGGGTAGGAGTGGGGGAACAATTTTGGAGATTAAAAAAAAAAAAAAAGGTAAATTATACATGCTGGACATTGGGACACATACGTACGTACACGCAAACATAGAGCAGTGTGTTCTTAAGCAATTCTTTCACCACTTTTCAGTGCATAAACTATTAACACCCCACGGTGCAAACTGCATGGTCATTAGAAAACACAATGACATTGGGCCTGAAACCTGGACAATTGAACAAAAAAAGAAGTCATTCAAAATTAACCTCTAATGCGATTGTGTTCTTACTGAAGACCAAGGGTCACTCTCCCCGCAGGCATTTGTGTGATACGGGAATCCAAGTAAGGTTTTCAGTCACACTAGGATTCAGTCAGGCTCTGGTATCACCCCAGTTGCTTTTGAGTATTTTAATACCCTAAAACTATCATCTGTAACAACATTCCATGACTGTTGCTAACTAATTGGTCAGATTTATTCCTGGTGCATCTCCAACGACTCAAGAAAGGACTCATGAAAGGAGTGGAACTGCATTACAGAAGAGTTTGGTCAGTTGTGTAATATAACATAGCACCATCCAGTCTAATGCCACTTTAAATAACATTTTATCATGACCTCACACATGCAAGTTGCAATCCTCATACAAAAATGACAATATGACATGAATGAGTTACCTACCACATTAGTCACACTCTTATCCTTTGAACAACATAAAACTATTTTGTGGCCGGAATTTATTTCTATATTATGTCAGTCAATACAAGAAGTATTTCAAGATGTAAGTACAAACAAATGTTGACTTAGGTGCTGTGGACAGGAAAACCTGAGCTAGAAATAAGGATTCCCAGCAGGCTTATATAAACACAGGTTAGCACAAGTCTAAGACTGGTTGCTCTCTTTATTTTAAATAGAAGTATCCTACCTCTACCAAGTATAAATACAATGCAATACAATTCCGATACAAAGGCTCCTCAAATATGAATTTGATATGCATTAACTGACTACACTCACGCTTACTCATGAGTATTTTCCAGTCACTGTTTTGCCAGCAGCTGGCATAGCACTGGATGCTAATTTTCATGTGGTTACTTTTACGTTTTTGCTTGGCTGGCTTATTTTCCTACCAGAAGACCTGAAAGTGCTGAGAAGCCGTTTCTTCACTCACATGTCATATTAAGGAGCACTTTTGTATAGAAAAAATATATTATTGTATCAGCAACAAATTTTTTAGTGTAATTATAAATGGCCTTTGTACCACACAGTGTCAAAAATAATATTGATACGTTGCTAATTACAATAAAAGAGAACATCAAGGTGCACCATAGAGCTTCCTATGACAGGAATGTATGTCGTAGATATTCCAGCTCACTTTTAAGACAATAAATGGCATTTATCATGTTTGTGAAAATGGTCCCACAAGAAAATAAATGTGGTTCCTCCATTCAGTAGAACCTCACTAATATGCACTCACATCAGGGAGACCAGATACAGCTTATGAATAAGTACGCAAACAAAGGTCATATAAAAAAAAAATAGTGTAAAATGTAGTATAGTTTTTATTCCCTAAATGTAGTTCTATCATTCACATTAATATTTCAGAATGCAACAGTAAATGCATCATGAAATCCAAGCAGTATTACATCTCACACATTCTTACTACATTGCTCTCTGAGAATTGTGGAAGGAATATCAGTTTTCTGGAGCAGACTGTAAGGTCTTGGGATTAGTGAGGTTCTACTGTAATGGTAAAAATAACATTTCTCTGATGCTGACATTTGGGCAGACCCAACCACATATTGGCAGATGGATGACTTGCACTCCACATTTTGTGTTCTTGAAGCGGGAGTAAAAAAACCCAAGGTATTTTCATCTCCCCAGCAACTGCATGTGCTTTATCCCTTTATAATATTTTCCTTTTAGGTGAATAGGGCCCCAGAATTACCATTTTTCTTCTCTGCTGTTATGGTGGCTAGCGCATCTGGAATGCAGCTATAGTCCTAAATGTAAATACAGTACTGGATAAATACTGAAGATTACTTTAAAGATGCAGTATCCCTTTTAACAATGCCTTTTTATTTTCAAATGTCTAAAAGGTAGAGTAAGGGGTCTGAACTCCTTTGAGAAAAAAAAAAGGTCAGTGTTGTAACTAATTCTAAGAAACACTTTAAATGGCAAAACTCTGAGATACTATTTAAATAGAGTAACTCACATAAGAGGAAAAACAACTGATACTCTAATATTCAATCAATATTCAATTAGAGTCTTTCCTTATTCATTCATCATAAGAACGCATCATTTTTAGGCCACAGGAAGGCTAAAACATCCAGAACCTATTACATAAGTCTGACCCTATATATATATATATATGTATGTATGTATTTGGGACTGACAAACCGAGTTGACAGACTAGAGAAATAGATACAAATAAAGAATATTCAACTGGGAAATAGAAAGAGAAAACAAGTTTCTAATACCCAGTAGAGAATTTACTTTCTCCAGAGTCTACTGAAGCCAATGTAATTCCAGTGTTGGTCCCACTAACCCACTGCATACACAAATCTTTCTCAAGGAATCAACAATAAGAGATGATGAGTAAGATTTGAGTTCCATAGTCCCTGGAAGGCATGTAAGGAAACCCCTCTAACAATCTAAATTCCTCTTTTTTTTTTTTTTTTTTTGTTTTTGGTTAGGTGAAGTGACTATATTTTAGCACTAGGTAGTGAAAGTCAATTGAAGAAAACAATCCTACCAGCAGAAAAACTGCAAACTGACTTAAAAGCTATGATGGCCGATACCCCACACCTTGCCACAACCCCAATCAAAACAGTTGCTATTCAGTGTGTTATTCATTCTGCATAGTTACTCCACTTCTTGCAGATATTCTTCCACTGATCTTTAACCTGCTTGTATCAACTATCAAAAAGTGGAGAAAAAATGTGCTGCACTTTGTGCAAATAAATAGAAGCTAGGGAATGACATGCATTAATGCTTTTTTTTTAGTACAGCAAGAGAGCTCATAGAAGCTTCAGTAACAAGGCTACTTGGTTTTTTTAAAACTACTTCTACAGGTTTCCTCTTCTTCCCAGAAAATGGCACTCAGGCAGGAATAACTAAATTCTGAAAGCACCATGTGGAAGAAAAAATCAAACAAACAAACAATTAAAAAAAAAATCAATCAACTAATTGCAAACCATTAGTGGTCTAAACTGTTCCAATTTCTTTGTTCCTTTGTCCTGCTCTCCCGCGCTGATAAGGGATACTGCATCTTTGATTCAGTTCCTACCGTACAACCAGGCAAGCTACACACAGTTTGGAAGGCCCTATGCAGTCATCATGACAGAAGGCTCCGCAGCCTTTGCACACGATCATGGCTTTCAGCCTGCAAGAGCATTTCAGTTCCAGTTCATCAGCATTGCTGCTGTCAGCAAATTTCTGAACCGGGATCTGCGCATTCTGGTTAGACAGGCCTGTGGCAGTGCTTGAGCCACCTCCTAAAATCCCAATTGATTTCTCAATTGCAGATGCTGCCCTTTTGAAGCTTGTGCTACCGAAGTGTATTGTTGGATAATTTCCACAGAGTTGCTGCTGCTGCTGCTGCTGTGGGTGCTGCGTCTGTATTTTCTGAGCAGCAAGTTGGGTAAAAGGCTTCTGCGGCTCAGAAAGTAAATAGGAAGAGAAATCTGCATTTTTTAATGCAAACGCTTTTAACTGTTCTTTCACTTCGTTCTGATCATAGGAAGCTTGTTTCATGCCCAGTTCGCAGCTGCTGCTTAAACCTTCCTCAAAAGAAATAGGTTCAGATTTTATATTGCTACAGATGCTTGCTGGCTGAGGCCAACTCAGTCTTTTAGTGGTTTCCATAGTAACTGTCGGTTGTTTTTGATCAGAGGGGACTTCTGCACTTGGGTGAGGAGGGGGAGGAGGTGGCAGGGGCGGAGGGGGCGGAGGGGGATGCACTAATGTTTTACTCTGCAGAGTTTGAGAGGCACTGGCAATGTCATCACCTTCCTTAATTTGAATATTAGGGGAAAACACACTTCCTAGCCTCAGCTGGTGAGCTGCTGTAGAAATATTCACATCTCCCAAGCCCTTCTGTTCCAGGTGTCTGCTAAAAGCAAATGCATTGCAGCCAGGTGGGCCTTTTGAAGTAGTTTGCAACAAAGCTGCTGTAGGAATAGGGCCTCTTGCAGCCATGGACATTTGGTAAAAATGCTGTCTATGTGAGGTACTAGCTTCTGCGTGAAAGCTGCCATTTTTATCAATGTGAAATAAGCTCTGCTGGAAACTGCATGAAGGCAATGGCCTCTTCTGCTGCTTGATCTCTGGGCTGTGAGCGATTCGGCTCTGAATGCCATGTTTGTTCAGCCACTCCTGCTTAAATGGCTGACCATGCCCTAGCTGATTCATGCTGGAACTAATTACACAAGGAGCCACTTTAACATCTGTGTCCATTGACACCTTCCCAGGCTCACATTTAATTTGAGCGTGTTCCCCTACAGTCCTGGCCATCCTCTTTTTCGGATGGTTTTCACGCTTTCTGATTTGTAGTGGGGCTATGCTGCCTGCTGTAAATCCTTTACCATCTGGATTAGGAGAGTTGGAAGGATGTTCAACAATATTTCTCTCGGACACTGCTGTTTTACATACTGAGGTAGTTTGCAAAGGCAAGGGAAGCCTGTTAATTTCTAGTTTGGCTCCTGATCTGGGCTGCGGCAGCACTTTCTCTAAAGGCAGATTGCCTTGCAGTAACTGGGTCACTAAAGGATTGTTGGCCTCCACTGACGACAAGCGACAGCTAGAGCCCCCGGCACTGGTAACTCTCTTTAGGGTTTCTGTTGTCAGGGACAGGGAGTCTTCCATGGAGTCCGTGATGGATGTCTTGGAGGTCTGCGGTGGCTGCGTGCTCGTGGCGATTTCTGCAGTCTGGGCAGGCATTTCAGGTCCTGTAAAATCCTCGGTGTCCATCCTGAAGCACTTGTCAGACTCATTAGTTTCCGATTTAACAGGAACAGCAATGCTCGTCAAAAGACTCCTGGATTGCAGTTCTGACATTTGTGTGTAACTGGAAGGTTCAGTTTTGACATTTTTTAAGCAGTTTTGCTCTGCGTATTCCTTATGCTTACCGGAGTTAAGATGGCTCACCACTGGCTGGTCCGTACTCATTGCCTCTTCATCATGCCAACAAATTCTATTGTTAGTGTTATACTGACCGGCACAGACAGCATCTGCTTCATTTTTAAATGCTGAAGGACCTCTTAATTGCTCAGCAAAACCTTGGTTGGGAGTAACCACCTCAATTAGTTTATCTTGAGGAGCAAGAGGCACTTCTCGAAGACTTGAACAACCTGCCTGCAAGTTCTTGCTGTCTTGCTTTGCTGTAATGGTGATAAAGCTGGAACTGTGCTCAAGGCTTTCATTAGAGACCACTTCAGGTCTGCTTATGACAGATACCTGAGGACAGGCTATACTTTGTAAGGCAGCTTCTGTCCTTACAGGTCTGCTCTGCAGGTCAATGCTGCTCTCCGCATTTTCAATAGAAGAAGAAAGCGATAGACTGGAATTCGGATTTGTAGTGTGGTCAACAATAACTTTGCAAGGAATAGACCTATTCATGGCAGTTTGTGTAAAGCTCACTGGCTGAGATTTACCAGAGACATCCATTCGGTTTCGTGCTCCGGAGCTTTTTTCTAAGAGATCGGCATTTAATTTAGTAGCATTATCATAAGAGCTTATCGTCACCATGTTACCAGTAAACATGGACATGGGCGGCCTTCCAACAGAATCTGCTACTGCAAGGGCCTCACTGCAACTTAAAGCTGACCTAACGGTAGTATGAATGGAGACAGTGCTTTGCTCATTACACCCAGTTATGGCTATCTTATCAGAAGAAAATCTGTTGGTAGTCCCCACTGGGGGAATCAGTACAGAACTACCAGAGAGATGATTTGGCAAATTATTTGCAATAGATGAAGTTGGCACAGTGGCATAATGACTGGAGACTGCGTTATTCGCATTGCTACTCGGTATCAGCAATCTTTTGTCATCGATGGCATTTGATGAGACCGTATTGTCTATGGAGACTGGTATGTTACTGTTATCAATACATTTTGGTCCAATGGTTATGCATGGAGTATCAGCCCCTTGGATGGTTTTCAGCATATTTATATTACAAGCTGAAACTGCTGTGTTTGCACTGTCAACAGACATTAAAACAGAGGATTTATCAACAGAACTTGCAAAAGAAAGTTCTTTAATTGCTCCAGACATAGCAGTGCTGCAAACAGACACAGAGACTGAACTTTTATTATAAAGCACTGGCACACTGTTACTTTCAGTAGAGGTAGATGAAATAATTTTCTCACACAATTGTGGCATAGGTATATTTTCATCAGAACTGTGCACAGATATCTCAGTAGCAGTTTCTGGTAATGTAGCTGTGTTAAGTGGCTGCTGCAATAAAGCGGTAGTCTCACGGTGATGAGCAGACTTGTTGCTAGGGGACCTGCAGTTAGGATTAACTATAATGACACCGGTAGAACCTTCAATCTTTGTGTCAGTAGAAGTTGGTATCTCCAGAGATGAGGTACTTTCCTTTGAGCCGAACTGCGACTTTGATTCTTTATTAGTCTGGAGTAAATGAGCTCTGGCTTGATGCTTTGCAAATAGCTTGGCCTTTGTTTGCTCCTTGATGTGTGCCAGTGTTCTTGTCTTCCCACCTTCGCATGGGGTCCCCATTGCTCCAGAGACTATGCTAG